TTCGTACAAGGCATATAAAATTAACGCACAATAAGAGGTGGTATCGGAAAGTTCCCGGGTTGTTATTGTTTTAACTACCTCGGTGAAAGAAGACGAAATGGGAGGCCAAGGCCACACTTCAGCAAGCCTATTGAATCAGTCTGACACGTGACACCATGCTGTGAACATGCATTGTTTTTACGCGAGTGTTTTTACGATTTCACGCTGCGTTTTTCTGCGATGGATGGAAAAATAGAGCAAAGTGTCTTCATCAAGTTTTGCGTGAAGCTCGGTAAATCCGCTACTGAAACCCCTGAAATACCTACGTGAGGCTTTTGGAGAACATTTTTGAATGACATTCACGTTTCAAGGCAGGTCGAGTGTCAGTTGAAGATGAACGCCCAGGGCGACCGAGCACAGGCAAAACGAAAGATGTTGAAAAATGCCAAGAACTCGTCCACGAAGACCGTCGCTGAACAATCCATGAGCTCGCAGACACGGTTGGTGTCAGTTATGGAGTTTGCCAGGAGATCTTAATCGAAAATTTGAACATGCGCCACATTGCTCCTTCATCGTGAAAACGCGCCCGCTCACACGTCCCTGAAAACCACAGTTTGTGACTAACATCAACATAGTTATCGTTCCTCGTCCTCCCTACTGGCCGGAGTTAGCCTGCTGTGATTTCGCTGTCTCCAAAATTGAAAATGAAACTGAAGGTACGACGTTTTGAAACAGTGTGTGACATCCAAAGGGAACTGGGAACTGGAAGCGGTACTCGACAGCATTAAAGAAAATGACTTCAATGGTACTTTTGAAGCGTGGAAAAAGCAACTGGATCGCTGTGTACGTTCCAAATGAGACTATTTGAAGGAGATGACAGCCAAAATTGAGCAAGTTAAGCCAGCATTTCTTTTCTGACCTAGTCCGGGAACTTTCCGATACACCTCGTAATGGCTGTGTGTCCGTATGTTTAATTCCCCAAGGAACTGAAGGGACTTGTTGGATTTAGGTTCTCACAGGGGTAGCTATTACGAGTTGATTTCTGGGACATAACGAAGTTAGTTCTACGAACCGTCACGTGACATTTCGAAAGAACATATCGCCTCGATCTTCAGGGTCGAAGAGTAAGCTAAGCATGCAACTAAGTCGGCTGAATTTAACCGGACTACACGGCAGTATATCCCAGCAGACAGAACTCTTGAACGAATTTCCATCAAATTGATAACGGACGGAGATGGGGAGCTCCATTAACTCACTGAAGTCCAGTGGTTATTATGGGTACCACCCGCTTTAACATACAACCCTGCATTCTACCCCACACAGTACACTTGTGTGTTCGTATGGCTCTCACAGTAAACAGCATTAACCGGTTGGGATTTGTAACGAGACGTAATGTGTTTCCTGTGAGGTACGGACTGAATTTATGTATACCATTTAGAGACAGTTCAGCCTTGAAAGGGTCAATTCGTAACTGATATCACATGCTATTTAATACAAATGACTTAAACTAGAAAGACATGTCACAAACGTTTAACTACGCGATATCAGAGGCGTTGATGGGGCGCGACCAAAACAGACCTGAGTTCACTGTACAGCTCCATAAGCCTTGTAAATAATTCTCTATAAGAAGTCACTCGGAAATCTCAGTCTTCCTCATTAATTTTAAACAGTAAACATTGCTGATACTTCTTCGCAGGAAATGCTCACAATTCTTTTCTATAGTTACTGTTTCCAAAGATTACCCTTCGTTAATCTACTCTTGACGGATACTCTGAAATCAGTTTTACTGAATATGCACACTGCGAACTTGAAAAGTTCTGGAAAGACAGATTTACAAATAGACAAAATAACATAATGTTATATGTTAATATTATTATTAATTGATGTACGTGTTGGACTTCCGGAGCCTGGATACCTCAGCAGGTACAGAGACTGGATACGGTTTGGACGACCGAGGGGTCGGAGTTCGAGTCCGGGTAGGGTCAAGAATTTTCTCATCTCCATGTCGTCCAGACCGGCTTTGAGGCCCACTCAGCCTCCTATCCAATGGATACCAGGGGCTCCTTCCTTGGGGGTAAAGCGGACGGGGCGTGAAGCAGAACACTCACCTCTAACTAGTGCCGAGATAAAGAAAAAAGCGGATCTATATATCCACTCCCTCATGCGCCTTCAAGGCGTAGTGCTTAATTCGTTAATGACAGGGACTTGGCCTTTTTGAACTTAACAGCTAGGGGTCAATTAGAGTCGACACGAATATAAAACAGTGATAATAATAAAATAACAACAACAACAACAACAACAAACCTTTCACAGCAAAGGTTGAACCGTCTGAAGACGATTCAAATGGTTCGCCCCGTGAAAGGCGTCGTGGAATTGCAGTCAACCACAGCCAGTGCTCATATATTTCTTGTAATGTTCTTTTTAAAGATGTCACGTGACCCTCCCCTTCTTTTTTCCTTCCTCCTCCTCTTGTCGTGGCAAGATGACACGAACGATCGCTCTCTTTCCCTGAGTGGCGGTCGTGCAGGGTGGTTGTCCCTGCTCTTAGAAATTTCTGTTTGGTTTCCTTTTTTTTTCAAAATTAAATTTAGTTTTGGAAGTCAGCGCGGTGTTTCCCGGGAGAGGGCCCCTTTGCTGAGCTATGGAGCAATGGCGAGGCAAAGGTGTTTTTTATAAATATATACGTATGGGTACCCTGTGACTACGTATACACATGTGAGTATTATTATTTTTTGTCTCTTTTCTTCGTTTGTGAAATTAAATGGGCGGTGCCCCATGAGAAAGGTATTGGCTTGAATGACCGGAGTGGGTCATGCTAGATTTCTTGTAATATCATTTCTTGTATTCATATCATATGTTTTTTTCTTTATTATTGTTAAATGTATATTTATTTCGTTATTATATTATTGTAATTGTTAGACTCAGCATAGCTCTCGATTTGTGCGTGTATTTCCCACAACAACAAGTGAATGAACTCCTCCCCCTTTCCCTCTCCTGAAATTTCGGACTGGTTACAGTCCGGGTAAATAACGGTTCAAGGTCAATGCTGTAATACCGACTGAAGCCACTGCCATCTATTGCTGGCATCTTGTAGCTCTGCTCGTAATTAAATGAGATTAGATTTTCATTTGGTTTCCATGGACACGACGTAAGGATAAACCAGCACACACTGCCGTGCCTAGGCCTGCTGTAATTTCCTACGTAAGCTGCAGATATAAATCAATCTTTAACAAAGCTAACGAACACTGCTGTGGCAACAAATATATTTTTACGTTTTTTAGTGTGACTATAGACGGGGTTTGGATTTGTGAATAGATTTATTGAGTTCTTACACGTCGTAACTACAAATACCTGTAACACTATTGCTATTTCCACACTTTACAGTTCACCAGAGCACACAGTCTAGTGTTCTCGGTCCGTTACTAGACGTTTCCTGGCAGAGGCTCCAACAATGGCTATTCCTCTGCCTCCGGGCTCAAATTTTCTCTTCACAGACTCCCGTACAGAAGTATCTAAGCTCTAAACTCGTCCCTTGCTTACAACATTTCAGCACGGACCACATAGGAAACATAGCTCTTCTACTGCTGTGTTCGTGTCTATTGCTGCAGAAACGTGTTTAACGAGGCGTTGCCCAGAAAAGGGTCTGGTATATTTTCCTATCTAGCGGTCGTCGCACAGTAATGGGTCTGCACGCTAAAATATCGTAAATATCCGTTTCTTGCATTTCAAATTACAACGCGACTGTCTGTATTCAGATCAATACTGTCGTCACCTGCACGAAGGGCACCCTTTGTAACCTGCCAACTGCCTCCAAAACGACGAACTGATTCTGCAGATTCATTTCCTTTGCCGCAAAGCTTATGGGGACGACAGAAACAAGATGGCCTTCAAATGTGGCCTCATGATGGCGCGAACAGGGTCGCAATGTTGCAGTAGGGGGGCTACTGTTATCAAGACAAGACAGCCCACTTCTTTTTACCTTATTACCTAAAAATGCTATGATTAAATTACAGAAAAGTTTAATTTTACCTGTTATTGGCCCACATTCTTTATTTTGAAAAAAAAAATAAAAGGAGGCTGTGAGCTCATCTTGTCTGTGTCTGTCCATCTGTCCGTGTACCCCCTATCTACGTAATTAGAATTTTGAGGCTTATGAGATCACCTTGCTGTTTGTGTGTGCCCAGTATGTTCTTATTATGGGTGAGAAACCAGATGCGGGTTAAGTCTAAAATTTTCTGTGTCATAATAACTATGATTATTATTTTCAACGTAGTCTATTACCTTCGGTTTCTTTCAAACACAGCATTTCATAAACTGGATGATTCCGTCGTTCGGTGAGACGGAGGAAAAGCATCACTCACGGTCATGATGTACAGACCGGAATGGTTCGCTCCCTATGTATTTACTGAACGCAGTAGTGGAGTAGAAAGTATGCAGTAAAGAACGGCAAAGCCCCTGTGCTTAACCAATTAAGCATTACGCCATGAAGACGCAAGGAGGAGGGCGGAGGGCCATAACGTTATTATACGTCAAGGCTCCTATATTTTCTAGACAATCGGTTCATAGATGGCGGTGAGGTTGTCAGTCATACGTACTGGCCGACCTTTAGACCCCAGGAAGGTTCCTGGTGCTCATTTCTGTTAGATGCTGAGTCGACCCCAATGTCATGGTGAGGCTAGAAGGCTCAGGTAAATTGAAAAATCCAATGACGTCATCGGGAATGAAACCCGCGACCTTCCGGCTTGTAGCACATTAACTCGTGTATTTTTTGCCTCGGCACTAACTGGTGAGTGGTCAGCTTCACTTCCCGACCGCTTTACCCTAAGGGAATAGACCCCCCGGTACCCATCGGATAGGAGGCTGTGTAGGCCTAAGTGTTGGTCTGGACGACGTGGAGAGAAGAAATATCTTTATCGTACAGGGACTCGAACTGCCACCCGTCGGCCGTTAAGCTTGCAGGCGGTCCCTATACCGACTCAGCTACCACGGCTCCCAGAAAGAAAGTAGGGGCTGCAACTCACCCAGGCAGCGGTACGGCTTCACCCACTCCGAGTGCGAGCCCTTGCATTTCTTGTGGCCCACTTTGCACCAGTTGGACACCTTCTGGTAGTGACTCGCCTCTACGATATTGGTGATATCGCGTTTCGGATATACCTGAAACAGTAAGTCATGCATACATAGACACATACAGTACACACACGTGGCCTTCTGCTGATGTAACTGTTATACGGGTGTGAAATTTGCTCTCTGTCAACAATGAATAAGGTGACTGAACAGTTCTATCTTCTGGGATATAACATCGTGTAGTCCGCTGAAAGTGACCCGACGTTTCGGGGAAACATGTACCCTTCACCTTCAGGGCGAAGAATAAGCCAAGCAAGAAACCAGCGTTAAGCAGGTAGCAAGCATATCCCACGGGAAGATATTACGCTCCGTAACTACGACTCTTAGAACCTCAAATTCTACATTAAGGTAGGCATTTAGAACTTATACGGGTGTGAAAGTCGGTCTCCCAGTCTGACGGACGCATAAAGCGCCAAGGAAAATCTTTAGAGCAACCCGTATGAGTACTCCATTGGTAAGGTAAAGGCAAAGTTGTCCCTGTACTTTACTGATTAGGCAACACACTATAAAAATATGGGGGGATTGAAGGTATATTCCCATGCATTCTTAATCTCTACACAGGATGGAGGCGAGTTGTTTGGCCCTGGGGAAACAGTTCTCGGTACCCACTGGATAGCACATTGGGTGGGACACAGCCGAATTGGATGCTGCAGAACAGAAAAATATTCTGCCTCTGCCCATTTCTGGGCCGCCCAACCCATTGCGGGTCGCCATCCCGCCCCGGGAACGGTACTATCGATAATGTAGCGTGTTTAGCCATGATTATGCAACGACAGCGAGATGGGCGGATATACGAGGGCCGTTGCTTGGCAATGGCTCAGTAAACACGTTCCCATTGTTAGGCAGCAGATTCTTAATAATGCAAAAGTGCGATTACAACAATGAAAGAAAGGTGATTCCTTCGTTGTCCGTGCCGAGAGGTCATAAGCGAGACGAGGTTTGAGTTGAGAATCAATCCCGTGTGGAGGCTGGGTCGAATACCTCCACCGTGACCATGTGAGTCGTAGGAGGCGACGAAAAGGGAAGTCTCGAATCTGAGACAGTAAAAGATGGTCGCGAGTCTCACGGGACTCAGATCCGAGAATAACTGCAATGGCGAGGGCCAGCAGCAATTGTAGAAGACAGATCCGTCCTCTCATCAGTGAGAGAGAGCGTCCGACATCAACAAACCTGCAACTGTGTGACAGTAATAAAAATCTGGTCGTAGGCCCCAGATGGGTGCTTATTCCAAGACAGACCGGCCGACTGACCGTCGGTCGTAACATAAGACTTAGACTCAGTTGAGAGTCAGTCGTGAGAAGGTGGCCAGCCGGGAAGCTGAAGAATATGTTAGAAGCCGCTGCCAGACAACGGTTGGTGAAGACACAGCAAGCAGGAAAACAGCGGGTGCTGTGATGATCTGTGAATTGTGGAGATCAGTGGTGGCGCTGAATCTGCTTGTAGTTGCTTATAGTTCCAAGTCGTACGTATAATTGGCCAAGAAATCCATTCACCAACCCAAAACTCGTCTATAGTCACACATACGACGTGAAATTATTAATATTTGATCATAACTGCGTACCGGACCGAGCTTTTCTGAGCCTGTCACTTCGCGCTTTCCTACATCTGCTCTAAATCCCATGTACAACAACTGTAGTCCATTTCGCGCCGCTGAATGCGGTACCGCAGGGCCTGGCGGAGATGCATGTTCAACCGACCGCAGCACAGCAGACTGATAAGCAAGAACCAGCAGATGTCTGCATTTGTTTGCTCACGAATATTTGCGGCCACAGTCGGCACACCGGGGCAGCCTTCCGGCTTCTCTAGGAACTGTGTTTCGGGTAATTACTGCCTTCTTTGACCATGGTAAAAGTAGAAAGCAACGTGTTCCTGTACTTAACTGAGCACCACATTATGAAAATGTATGCGGGAATGAAGGTATAGCTCCACTATCCTTGACCTCGACACTAGTTGGAGGTCAGTAGTCAGCTTCACGCCTTTGCCGCTTTACCCCAAGGAAAATAGCTCCTGGTACCAATCGAGTTGGAGGCTGGGTGAGCCCCACAGCCATTCTGGAGTAGAGAAAAATCTATTACCCCTGTCGGGAATCGAATTCTGAATCCTTTATGGTTCAGCCTGTCGCTTAGTTGTTATACCGACTGAGCTATCTCGCCTCCGTATGTGGACACAGGTATAATAAGCACTGCATATTAACAATATTTTGATTGAAATTCTGACATGCTATAAACACAGTTATTTGATATTTTAATGAATATTTTAATGCACGATGCTCATCAATGCTCTGGATATGTAGTAACGTAATAGCAGTCTCTCAGGGCGTTATGAAATGTCACTTTTGTCTTCAGTTCATTCATTCATCAATGGCACTACAGCCCTTTGTTGGGCCCTGGCCTCTTCTTCAGTTTCGTAATCATACGGTAGGACTCCTTGGACGGGGGAAAAGCTCGTCGCAAGGCCGCTATCTACGCAGAAGACAGCACAAATACAGAATAAATGCATACTGACATGCATGTCCCAAGTGAGATTCGAACCCACGATCCCAGCAGCGTTCTAACGAGGGAAGACGGTTCATGCCTTAAGACCGCGCGCCCACTGTGATCCACCTTGTCTTCAGTACACGACAGTAAATCACGGGCATTAGTTCATGTTGATAACAGAAGAACAGAAGTGGCAGGAGTGTGAACTTAACCCCTTAACTAGATATACAAGGGGTAGAATAAACTGAATAAGCAAAACGACAATATAGTCGAACAGATTACAGCATATATAAACAGATGTAATCCAACGGAGATATATTATAAACCTTCGGGGAAGGGGAAAAACAAGGACGCGGAAGGAACAGGATTTTCGGGCACATAGATGCCTAACCCGTGTAGATAAGAGGATTCTGTAGTCCAGATTTAATAGAAATCGCCTCGCATTTTTAAGCCACGAGATTGATCCAGTATAGCGTATAAACACAGAACGCGAAGACCCATGGGCAGCAGGGTGTCTAGTGAGTATAAAAATAAAATATAAACTAAACTACGGTTCAAATATGACGGCGGTTGAATGTTGGATCTTTAGATCTACAACGTTACGGATGCTTTACCGTCACTGCCCTATATCCGACACTTGCTCAAAAGTGCTCTTCTGTGACATGGCAACGTCGCGTTAACGTACACTATACTCTCCCAGTGTCTCGCTTGAAATAATTAAAACAAAATCTGAAGCCTGGGTACCTAATCTTTCGATTTTAAATAAACACTAAGACGTCAGTAAACTGAAACAACAGCTGACACGTTCTATTTTCGTAAACACATAAATACATATAGGCTTACAAGTAATAATTAGAAACTCAGAAGAGGAAGGGAACAGTACGGGTTAAAACGACTAACATTTGACGTACTTCCTCATTTCCTCACCGAACTTCTTCACTTTCGGCTCTCCTAAATCATTCTCTACAACTTCCCACAATTTCAATATGTGTCTTCTCATTTTTCCCCTTCTCATTCATTCTAATCATATGCTCAAATCACTCCAACCATTACATTTTCTTAACCATTACGAGATCATGGATTGTACATAATTCACTCATTTCTTGGTCAGTTCTTATTTTCCAAACCCTTCACTCAGTTACTGGTCCTTACGGCTTCCTCAAATTAGTACTCTCAAATTTATTATACACAATCACAGCTCATGTTTCACATCAATACAACATAACAACGGCGTTTTGTATAAACGAAGACTGATACTGATCAGTATAGTTCGCGCCATGTAACAATTATTGCTACTGCGCAACCAACTGCGATTCGCAGTGTAGCTCGAATCCTACTATAGATGTGTCACGTCTCACTCTTCAATCCTCTAAATCATGTGCAGAGGGAAAGAGATGGATGATTTCTTCTGGACACCGACAGCGACGTGCTTGCTGTACTCGTATGGCTGTTCGTCAGAGCTCCCTTTATCACAATGTCTACAGTGGATGAACCCATACGGCTTCAAATGGAAACCAATTTCAGGAAAACGACAGTATTCATCTCGTTTGGCTTAAACGAATTGAATCCCCACACAACACGTTCAGAATACATTATGATGCCATAATATGGCACGCATCTTGGACGAGACGGCTGTTATGCTTGCTGAATACGCACCTCTTTGCATAAGCCCTTTAAGAAACCTTTGAAAACAGACATACTCGTATAGTACACGCTATTCCGCACTGGCGCCACATGTCTTGCCCAATCCAATATATCGGTTCAAACGGTAAAGCTTCCGATTTATATCCGGGAGGTGTTCGGTTCGAATCTAGTCCAGGCCATCGGGTACTCTCACTGGAGATTTTCGCGATTTTTCCCAGCCTTTCCAGGCGAATGTCGGAATGCTACGTAGGAACAAGCCAATTTACCACTCACTAATCATTTTAACGCCGATCAGAGTGGCCAGCCGCGCGACCTAAGACCTGAACTGTCTTCGCCCGCTCAAACACTGGGATCCTGGGTTCCAATCTAACTTGAGGCATGGATGTCTGTGTGAGTTTATTCTTTGTTTGTGCTGTTCTGTGTGCAGGTAGCGGCACTGCGACGGTCTGCTTCCCTTTCCAAGGAGTCCTACCGGCTGTGTATTGGATTTTTTTTTCTTTGGCGCTACAGCCCCAATTTGGGCCTTTGCCTATCTACATGAAACTCTCCGTTTCATTTCGATTTACTAGATCTTATACATTCGGTAGAACACCTTGGACGGGTGATCAGCTCGTCGCACGGCATCTACCTGTACATAAACACTGAAAAAAGGGCGCGCGCACACATACAAACACTAAACGTCCATGCCCTGAATTGGATTCGAACCTATCATTCCAGCTTCCGAGCAAGCGAAGACAGTGCATCCCTTAGACCGCTCGGCTACCGTGACCGGTGTGTATAGGATTAAGAACCCGAAAAACCGGCCAAGGTCCAACGAAGGACTGTACAGCCATAGAGAGACAATCATCTTAAAATTCAATGCTATACAGTATGACATACTGACAGCGGCCTTAAATGAACTGTAAGGGA